CAGATATTTGCATGCCAACATTCACTGCAGCATTGGTCACAACAGCCAAAAGGTGGAAACAACCCAAATATCCATCACCAGAAGAATGGATAAACCAAAGGTGGTATATCTATACAATGGAATACTACTCACCTATTAAAAGAAATGAAGTTCTGATAACATGCTGCAACATGGATGAACCTTGAAAACATTATGCTAACTGAAATGAGTCAGACACAGGAGAACAAATATTGTATCTTTCCACTTAGATGAAATATCTAGAACAGGCAAATTCATAAAAACAGAAAGTAGAATAGTGGTTAAGTTACCAGGGGTTAGGGGAGAGGATGGAAGTTATAGGGTTTCTGTCCCAGGTGATGAAAAAATTTTGGATATGGTAGCACTGGTTGCACAACATTGTGAATATAATTAATGCCACTAAATTGTATACAGGCATACCTCAGAGATAACTGGAGGTTCAGTTCCAGACCACAACAATAAAGCAACTATCACAAAAAAGCAAGTCATAGGAATTTTTTTAGTTTCCCAGTACATATAAAAGTTATGTTTATACTATAATATATTCCATTAAGTGTGCAATAGCATTATGTCATAAAAATATACCTTAATTTAAAAATACTCTATTGATAAAAAATGCTAATGATCATCTGAGCCTTTAGTGAAGTATAATCTTTTTGCTATTGGAGGGTCTTGCCTTGATGTTAATGGCTGCTGACTGATCAGGGTGGTGGCTGTTGAAGAGTGGGGTGGCTGTAGCAATTTCTTAAAAAAACAACAATGAAGTTTTTCAATTGACTCTTCCTTTCACAAAAGATTTCTCCATAGCATTCTTCCACTAAGAATGGCACCTAGAATGGTGAATCCTTACCAGAAGATTTTCAGTTTACTTTGCCCAGACCCAACAGAGAAATACTATCTGTGGGAGCTATGGCCTTATGAAACATATTTATTTAATAATAAGACTTAAAAGTCAAAATTACTCCTTGATCCATGGGCTACAGAATAGATGATAAGTTAGCAGGCATGAAAACAACATTAATCTCTCTGAGCATTTCCATCAGATGACCAGGTGCTTTGTAAATAGGCAGTAATATTTTAAAATGAATCTTTTTTTCTGAACAGGTCTCAAAAGTGGGCTTAAAATATTCAATAAAGCATGCTATAAAACAGATGTGGTGTCATCCAGGCTTTGTTGTTCCATTTCTGGAGCACAGGCAGAGTAGACTTAGCATAATTTTTAAGGGCCCTAGGTTTTCAGAATGGTAAATGAGCATTGGCTTCAACTTAAAGACATCAGCTGCATTAGCCCCTAATAAGAGAGTTGGCTTGTCCTTTGAAGCCAGGCATTGACTTGCCCTCTCTAGCTATGAAAGTCCTAAATGGCATGTTCTTCCAGTATAAGGCTGTTTCTTCGACACTGTAAATCTGTTGTTTAATGTAGCCACCTTCATCAATGATGTCAGTTAGATCTTTTGGATAACTTGATACAGCTTCTCCATTGCACTTGCTCCTTCACCTTGCGCTTTTATGTTATGGAGATAGCTTCTTTCCTTAAACCTCATGAACCTGTTGGCTTCAAACTTTTTTCTCCATCTTCCTTGCCTATCTCAGCCTTCATAAAATTGGAGTTAGGGCCTTGCTCTGGATTAGGCTTTGGCTTAAGGGAATATTGTGGCTGGTTAAATCTTTTATACAAACCATTCAAATTTCTTCCATATCAGCAATAAAGCCATTTCACATTTTATTCATTTGTGTGTTCACTAAAGTAGTACTTCTTCTTTTTTTTTTTTTAAATAAAGACAGGGTCTTGCTTTCCCACCCAGGCTGGGGGGCAGTGACACAATCTTAGCTCACTATTAGCTCAAATTCCTGGGCTCCAGCGATCTTCCCACCTCAGTCTCCTGAGTAGCTGGGACTACAGGCATGTGCCACCATGCCTGGCTAATTTTTAAGAATTTTTTGTAGAGATGAAGTCTCGCTAAGTTAACCAGGATGGTCTCAAACTCATGGCCTCAAGCAATCCTCCTCACCTGGGCCTCCCAAAGTGCTGGGATCACAGGGATTAGCCTCCACACCTGACCTGAAGTAGTAATTTTAATTTCTGTCAAGAACTTTTCCTTTGCATTCAAACCTTGGCTGTTTGGTGCAAGAGGCCTAGATTTCAGGCAATCAGATTTCCATTACACCTCCCTAACTAGGCTTAATCATTTCTAGCTTTTGATTTAAAGTAAGACATGCAACTCTTCCTTTCACTTAAACACTTAGAGGCCATTGAAAGGTTATTAATTTTAATTGGTCTAATTCCAATATTGTTGTGCCTGAGGAGATAGGGAGGCTCAATGAAAGGGAGGAAGATGGGGCATGGCTAGTCACCAAGTAGTTACAACATATAACATTTATCATTTGCTATATCATATGGGCATAGTTCGTGGTGCTTCAAAACAATTACAATAGTAACATCAAAGATCATTGCTCACAGATCACCATAACAGATATAGTAACCTTGAAAAAGTCTGAAATACTATTAGAATTACCAAAATATGACACGAAGAACGAAGTGAGCCTGTATTATTGCAAAAATAGCACCAATAGGCTTGCTCAAGAGGATTGCCACAAACCTCCCATTTGTAAAAAAAAATGCAGTATCTGTGAAGCATAATACAGTGAAGCACAATAAAACAAAGCATGCATGCATTTTTAAATGGTCAAACTGGCAAATTTTATGCTTTATATATTTCATTGTAATTTTTTAGTTGATTTACCACAATTTAAAAACTTTGTTTTTACAACAATTTTTAAAAGTTGCCTGAATTAACTAGCATACATAAGTTAAGGAAACACAGCATCTGCCATAAGGATTTGAAAACTTTTTTTTTTTTTTTTTTTGAGACAGAGTCTGGCTTTGTTGCCCAGGCTAGAGTGAGTGCCATAGCGTCAGCCTAGCTCACAGCAACCTCAAACTCCTGAGCTCAAGCAATCCTGCTGCCTGAGCCTCCCAAGTAGCTGGGACTACAGGCATGTGCCACCATGCCTAGCTAATTTTTTCTATATATATATTAGTTGTCCAATTAATTTCTTTCTATTTATAGTAGAGACGGGTCTCGTTCATGCTCAGGCTAGTTTCGAACTCCTGAGCTCAGACCAATCCGCCGGCCTCGGCCTCCCAGAGTGCTAGGATTACAGGCGTGAGCCACCGCACCCTGGTGGATTTGAGAACTTCTGATTAACTGTGTTAGTGCCAAATTCACTTGCCAAATATGGAGTTCCACTATGTAACTGAAAGACTGGAGTGCCCAGTTACCGCTACGTTATCTGTTATTCTGTAGGAGACTCCACACATGAGCTTTACAAACAGTATTAACAGTATGATTATAAATTATCTTTGTATTTGTACCCTTAACATTCCCAATATTGGGGACATTTAGGAAAAGGTGAAGACAGTATGAGCTTTATACTTTATTTCAGTACAATCAAAGGTATGTGATAGCAACTTGCTGAAAAGGCTAAATTGCTTCCACAGATCAAGGGGCTCCCCCAATGGCTTGTGTAATAGTATATTCTTAGTATTATGAATGTATTAATATGTTTGAACCCACCGAACCTGAAACTGCAGGAGAAATAAAAAGTGTTGTAGAAACGTTTAAATAAATAAACTCATACAAATTTAAACATGATGTGGATCAAGCAGAAAGCAACTAGAGACTGCACTCATTTTCCATATTATAAACTCAGCAAAATTACAGATTTTGAATGATTACAGAGTTCCAAACTCCAGTTAAAACAATCACAATTTCAGAAAAGTTCATTACTTCTGATGAGTACAGACCCTTATGTTTTTATTTCTGTACTTGCCACTAGAATATAAACCTCAAGGTAATCTCAAATCCCAAGGATCTGTCCTAACAATATGACTCAATTTTAAGAGTATCAGAACAGAAAACAAACTGAGCCCACCAAGAACAACTGAAATTTTAGAAACCAACATGCAAATCCAAAAACCACTCCACAGTGTGTTTACTTGGTTCTATAAAAAAACATGCTCTCAAAAAACTCTGGGATCAAAGAAAGAACTACCAGTAATGTAAATTTGAAGTCTAAATCAAGATGTACTTTAGCTAATGTTCAACAACCAATATAAAGACTCTTTTAAATCTTTAAATGCTTTTTATTGTTCACTAGAAATAAATCTGTAAACCTTCTACTCATTCACAAATATTCTTTGGGCATTTAATTTATTCTGTCAGGTACAAACAATACTAAGTCCTAGAGATGGAAATACAGCAATGGACAAGCCAAAACAGTTCCTACCATCATGGGGCTTGAGTATAAGAAATATTAAATAATTATACAAAATTTAATTATAATTGTGGTAAATACTGTAAATGAAACTAAACTTAGATGCAGTCTTCAACTGACTGTACGATCTTGGACCTCATCTTCTTCATCTGTAAAACTAGAAGGCAGATCTGAATGATTTCTTAAGATCCTTTTAAATTAAAAAATTTTATAAATCTAAAAGTATAAAACTTTGCTTCCAGACTTCCTTTATCAGGACAGTTACATTTATAAAATCTATCAGCAAAGCAATATAGTCTTCATCTCCCAACCCATGAAGATTTTTCACACAAAACATAAGGTTAGATGGTAAGTAAAGCAATTTCTTACTGTTATAAATTTTTATGTTCAAATTCCATATATTAAATGTATTGTGTTCCAGACTAACACATAAAAAATAAGCAGGAGAAAAGTATGTCCATAAAGTATTTGTATATATCAAAATTACTTTGGAATCTATTTAAAATACACATTCCCAAGCCCCAGCCAAGACCTACTACAGAATATCTGGAAATGAGGCCTGGGAATCTGAACTCCTGATTAGCCCCTCAGATAATTCTAATACACATTAATATTTCAAGAATTTGAACAGAACAGAACAAATAATATTATGGAAAATGGCTTCAGAGTAAAACACTTTAGAATAGGAACTATAATAAACCTACCTGTGTAGCTTTGTCCCTCATGCAAGGTGCAGCTTGCCCATGACTATCACGAGGCCAGTGGCCGGCAAGATACGGAGCAGCAAGAGTATCCAGGGAGGAAGTACGTCGGATAATACTGGAGGGACTTGAGGAAGGCTGTCGTGATTTGTCACCTAGATTTAAGACAAAAAAATTTATTAAAAAGGGACTCAGTGCCACAACTCATGCCTGTAATCCAAGCACTTTGGGAGTACAAGGCTGGAGGATTGCCTGAGGCCAGGAGTTTGAGACCAGCATGGCAAGACCCTGTCTGGAGGGGAGGGGATGAGAGGGAAGGAAGAAGGGAAGGGGAAAGGGGAAAGGAAAGGGAAAAGGGAAGGGAAGGAAAGGAAAAGAAAGGAAGAAAGATTAGGAAGGAAACAAAGCAGAAACTTTAAAAATACACAGAAGGTTCTCCAACTTAAATAGAGTAGGCCCTTTATCCACAGGGTATACATTCCAAGACCCACAGTAGGTGGCTAAAACCTCAGATGGTACCAAATTCTATATATACTATGTGCTTTCCTATATGCACATACCTATGACAAAATTTAATTTCTAAATTAGGAACAGCAAGAAGTTAACAACAAATAATAATAAACTGGTACAATTATAACAATATGTCAGCATCACTGCTTTTGCGCTTTGGGGCCATTAAGTAAAATAAGGGTTACTTGAACACAAGCACAGCAATACCACAACAGTTGATCTGATAATCATGACAGCTACTAAGTAACTAACAGGTGGGAAACATACACAGCATGGATATGCTGGACAACGGCATGATTTACCTCCCCAGCCAGGGGAGTGGGACAGTGAGATTTCATCAGACTACTTAGAAGGCTGTACAAGATATAATATACAAATTGTTTATTTCTGGAATTTTTCCACTGAATCTTTTCAGGCTGAGGTTCACCATGAGTAACTAAAACCACAGAAAGCAAAACCATGGATAAGGAAGGAGGGTGACTACAGTATACAAAAATGAGCAATAAAAAGGAAGAGACTATTGATACACACAACTTGGATGACTCTCCAGAGAATTATACTGAGTGAAAACAATCCCACCCTAGACCTAACAAATCAAAATCTCTACGGATGGGCCCTGGAATTCTCTACAGAATTGATGTATCCCTAGTAACCAACAAAGTTTTAGCTGGATCTCTTTTTCTTTATAAATTAAATCTTTTGATTTTTATCTTTTAAGAAACTATGAGGACATAATGAAAATAAGACAGGAAGTTAAAAATCATGAGAAAATATAAAAAATTAGTGACAATCTTTCATGTTATTTGATATCAATAATTTAAAAGTAATACTGGCACTTAGTGGTTGTCTTGTTCCAGACACCAACAGAAATCTTAGAGGACAGAGTATTAATGACACAACTGCCTCATGATAACTTAGTACCAGCCCACAAAAATCACTCGAAAGACAAACTAACACCTTGCTTGTTGATCCCTTGCCTTTGAGATTATCCTAGGAGACGCATAAACCAAATCAACTGAAAGAACCAACCATCAGCTTTGTAATGGGAGGTTTAATTTCTGAGCAAATAAAAGGGGTATGTACCAATACATAAACATTAATTATAAGACATTCAACGTAAACAATTAAAATAGTAGTAAAATAAAACAACAATAAAAAAATATAATATGTAATGTGAGGAAAGATGTATAATATGTTCAAAAGTAGCTGCTATAATAACAATTTTTTTCACTATATAAGAAACAAACATTGTAAATATCAGATTTCTAGTTAATAATGCAATAACTAATTAACATATTTCATTTATGAAAACTTAAATTCTGCAACAATGCAGGCCAACTTTTGACAAGTCAAAATAAACTTTAAGGCTGGGCATGGTGGCTCATGTCTGTAATCCTAGCACCATGGGAGGCCTAAGCAGGAAGACTGCTTGAGGTCAGGAGTTTGAGATCAGCCTGAGCAACATAGTTTTCTGGTTTGAGTTGGTTTTCCATTTTCTCTTGGAAAGAGAACTGACAGCTGCTCCAGAGAAGGAAATCAGTGCAAGAGCTCTGGAAATAAGAAAAATCAGAGCAAAAGGACAAACCCAAAGGGGAACACCAGCTCTCTGGCAATGGATACCAACCAAAATGAAAATACTAAAATGACAGGTAAAGAATTCAAAATATAGATTTTAAGGAAGCTTAACAAAATCCAAGAGAAAATGGAAAACCAACTCAAACCAGAAAAACAATTCAGGAAAGGAATGAAAAATTCACTAAAGAAATTGATATATTTTTTAAAAAACCAAATAGAAACTCTGGAAATGAAAAATTCATTTAATGAAATACAAAACACAGTGGAAAGTTTTAAGAATAGACTAGACCAGGCAGAAGAAACAATCTCAGAGCTTGATGGCAACTCTTTCAAATTAACTCAGTCAGAAATAAAGAACAAAGAATAGGAATGAAAGCCTGTAAGAAACATGAGATTATGTAAAATGGCACATTTAGATCATAAGCATCCCTGAGGGTGAAGAAGAAAATGCACAAGGGCTGGAAAACCTATCTGAGGAAATAATTGAAGAAAACTTTCCAGGTCTTGGTAGAGATTTAGACATCTAGGTACAAAAATCTCAATGAATACCTGGGAGATTCTTGCAAAGAGGCAATCACCAAGACACATAGTCATCAGACTGGCCAGAGTCAACATGAAGAAGGAAGTGCTACAGGCCATGAGGAGAAAACATCAAGTAACTTACAAAGGAAAACTCATCAGGTTAACTGTAGATTTCTCAATGGAGACTTTACAAGCCAGAAGGGAATGGGGCCCCATCTTCAGTCTTCTTAACCTAAACAACTGCCGGCCTAAAATCTGTGTCCTGCAAAACTAAGTTTCATATATGAAACAGCAATAAAGACTCTTCCAGACAAGCAACACTGAGTGAATTTGTCAAGATCAGACCTGCCCTGCAGGAAATACTCGGAACTGCATTATACATGGATCAGCACAATAGATACCCACCTCTGTAAAAGTACCCCAAAACTGAAGCTCAGAGCTCATATAAGACAATAGCACAGGAAGTAAAACAAAGCAATAAGGTATGACTCAACAGGATGAATAGAATAGCATTCCACATAGCAATTCTATCAATCAATGGGAACTGTCTGAATGCCCCACTCAAGAAACATTCACTGGCTGAATGGATGAAAAAATACAACCCAAGTATCTGCTGTCTCCAGAAAACATCTAACCCACAAGGACTCATACAGACTCAAGGTCAACGGATGGAAAAAAATATTCCATGCAAATGGAAACCAAAAGAAAGCAGGTGTAGCCATTCTCATATCAGATAAAACTGACTTTAAATCAACAACGGTAAAGAAAGACAAAGATGGCCATTACATAATGGTAAAGGGAGCAATTCAACAAGAAGACACAACAATCCTAAATATTTATGCATCTAACACAGGAGTACCCAGATTCATAAAGCAAACTCTACTAGATCTAAGCAGAGATAAACAGTAGCATCACAATTGCCAGGGACTTCAACACCCCACTGACAGAACTGGACAGATCATCCAAGCAGAAAATAAACAAAGAAACACTGGGCTTAAGGGACCCTAGAAGAAATGGGCCTAATGGATATTTATAGAACATTTTATCCAGAAACTACTGAACATTCATTCTTCTTCTCAGCACAGGAAACATTCTCCAAGATTATCATATCTCAGGCCACAAAACATGTCTGAACAAATTCAAAAACACAGAAATTATACCATGTATCTTCTCAGACCACAATGGAATAAAACTAGAAATCAACTCCAAGAGGAACACTCAATTCTACACAGTTATGGAAATTAAACAACCTGTTGCTGAATGATTACTGGGTCAATAACGAAATGAAAATGAAAATCAAAAGATTCCTTGAACTAAATGACAAAAGGGACACAGCTATCAAAATCTATGAGATTCAGCAAAAGCAGTCCTAAGGGGAAAATGGATAGCCTTAAATGCCTACATCAAAAAGACAGATCACAAATTAACAACCTAATGATTTCATGAAAACAGAAAAGGACGAGCAAACCAAACCCAAAGCCAGCAGAAGAAAAGAAATAACTCAGGTCAGAGCAAAACTAAACGATTCCTGCCATTCTTCCTGAAAAAAAAAGAAAAAAAAAAAAACTAAACGAAATGGAAAAAAAATAATAGTAATACGAAGAATCAATGAAACAAAAAGTTGGTTCTTAAAAAAGGTAAACAAAATTGATAGACCTCTTGCTAGATTCATCAGGAACAGAGGAGAAAGGACCCCAATAAGTTCAATCAAAAAGAAAAAGGGAGATATTAATAATGATACCATAGAAATATAAAATACCATCTATAAATACTATGAGAATCTCTATGCACATAAACTCAAAAACTCAGAGAAAATGGAAAAGTTCCTGGAAACACACAACCTCCCAAGACTCAACTGGGAAGAAATAAACTCCTGAACAGACCAATAAGAAACAGCAATATTGAAACGGTAATAAAAAACTTTCAACAAAAAAAGCGCCAGACCAGATGGATTCACATCCAAATTCTACCAGACCTACAGAGAAGAGCTGGTACCCATATTGCAGAAATGATTCCGTAACATCCAGAAGGAAGGAATTCTCCTGAATTCATTCCACAAAGCCAATATCACTTTAATACCAAAACTGGGAAAGGACACAACAAAAAAGGAAACTACAGACTAATATTCCTTATGAATATAGATGCAAAGAACCTCAATAAAATACTAGCAAATAGAATTTAATAGCACATCAAAAAACAAACAAACAAAAAAAAAACACCCGGCATGAACAAATGGGCTTCATTCCAGGGATGCAAGGATGGTTCGACATATGTAAATCAATAAATGCAATTCACCACATAAACAGATGCAAAAACAAAGGACATATGATCATCTCAATAGATGCAGAAAAAGCATTCAACAAAATTCAACACTTTGTCATGATAAAAACTCTCGACAATCGAGGCATAGAAGGAACATATCTCAAAATTAAAAAGCTATATATATGACAAATCCACAGCAAACTTCATAGTGAATGGGGAAAAGTTGAAAGCGTCCCCACTAAGAACTGGAACAAGATAAGGGTGCCCACTGCCACCACTTCTATTC